TTTTATCCATTTGTACCATATGTTTCCCTTCGTCTCCCTTATCCTCCTCCATCTTTCTTCCTCCTGCTCTCTCTTCTCCCTTCTCACTATTTCCTCCCCCCTCATCTCTCCCTTTTCCCTTAATCTTTCTATCTCCTTTATTTCCCATCCCTTTTCTACATAAAACTCCTCTCTTTCTTTTTCCCACTCCCCTATCACCTTTCCTTTCTTCGCTCTCTCTCTCACTTCTTCCCAGCACCACCTTGCTATCTCCCCCCCTCTTCCTTCCCCTATCCTCCTTTCATAACCCCATGCTCTCATTCCCGCCCTTCCTCTCATTTTTTCTCTCATTAATTCTTCTCTTATCATATATCCTGGTGTATTCCATCCTACCCCCATTATCCATCTTAGATATCTTTCATGCATCCTTTCTATCTCTTCCCTTTCCCTCCACCCCCAAATTTCCACCCCGTAGCTCATCACCGTCCATACTAATCTGTCGAAAAGCCATAATCTTCTCACCCAATCCCCTCCATATCTCCTTTTCCCTATTCCCCATACTTCTCTCATTACTACCGCCCCTTTTCTTACCCTCTCTCTTATGTGTTCTTTACTCTTTCCATTCGCCGTCACTACATATCCTAAATACGTGAACTTCCTCACTTCTTCTATCTCATTTCCTTTCCACCTCCATTTAACCTTTTTCCACCTCCCTCCTCCTTTCCTGCATCTCATCACCTTCGTTTTCCCAATGTTAACTTCCAGTCCTTTTTCCTCCATATACTTCTCTAACGCCTTTATCATTCCTTTCATCCCTTCTTCATTTTCCGCTATCACCGCTATATCATCCGCATACGCCATCGACCATATCTTTCTTCCTCCTACTTTAATCCCTCCCCACCCCTCCCTTTCCAATTCCTCATCCAAGTCCGCCAACAACATTGTGAATAGGCATGGGCTCAATGGACACCCCTGCCTTACACCTCTCCCTGTCCAGAATATTTTCCCCTTTTGTCTTCCACCTTTACCCTACACCTTGTTTCCCTTAATACCTCTTCACATCTCTCTACCAGTCCTTCCCTTACTCCTCTTTTCCTCAAGCATTCTCTCAATTTCCCTTTATCTATCGAGTCAAAAGCCGCCTTTAAATCTAAAAACAGTACCACCATCTTCCCATTTTTTTCCGCTATCTTTTTATTTATTATGTAATTCAACCCATATATCTGGTCCACTGTGCCTCTTCCCTCTCTAAAACCTGCCTGAGTCGGAGGTAGCATCCCTTTTTCCTCCACCTCCTTCCTCATTCTTTTTGTTAGCACCGTTGCGTATATTTTGTACGCCGTCTGTGTTAAGGTTATCCCTCTATATTCCTCTACTTTTTTCCCTTTTCCTTTCATCCATACTGGAACTACTACCCTCTCACTCCATTCTTCCGGCCATCCCTCTCCCCTCCACACCTTATTACATATTTCCCACAACCAACTCCTCACCTCCTCTCCCCCATACTTCCATACTTCATTTGCGATTCCGTCCCCGCCTGCCGCCTTCCCATCTTTCAGACCTCTTATCACCTCTTCTATCTCCTCTCTACTTATTTCTTCTTCTTCCCCTATTCCTCCATTGTTTCTTTCTCCCTCCTCTCTCACCTTCCATTCCACTCCCCCTAGCATTTCCTTAAAGTATCCTTCCCACTCCTCTATTCTTATCCCCTGCTCTACTCCTTTTCTCCCCCCCCTTTCTCTTCTTACCACCTTCCATACCTGCCTTTCCGTTCTTATACCTTCTACTTCCCTTTCCCATTCCTCCCTTTCCTTCCTTTTCTTTTCTTCACATAATGTCTTATATTCTTTCTTTCTTAACTTATATTCTTCCCCCTCTCTCCCCTTCCTTTTCCAATTTCTAAACTCCTCCTTCACTATTTCTTTTAATTCTTTACACTCCTCATCCCACCATCCTTTTTTCCTTACTCCGCCCATTTCCCTTTCCACCTTCTCTATCGCCTCCTTTACCCTTCCTTTCAGCCTCTCCCACTCCTCGCCTACCATCCCTCCCTCACCTTCTCTCCTTCCACAATATTCTATAAATTTCCTCCTCCCTCCCTCTGTCCATATCCCTCTCCCCCTCCTTTTCTTCTTCCATCCTTTTCTCCCCCTCTCCCTCCTCTCTCCCTCCACCCATACCGTCAAAGGTTGGTGATCCGACTCCGTGTTCTCCTCCACCACCAACCTTTTCACGCTTCTTCTTTTTTCTCTATCTCCCACCACGTAATCTATCACCGTTCCTCCTCTTCCGCCTGTATATGTCCACTCTCCCTCCTCATCCCCCTCTGTATTTCCATTCATTATTGACCATTCCATTTCTTCTAAAAATCTACATAACCTCCTTCCCTCCCCATTACTCTTCTCATCTCTCGATTTTCTTCCTCTCACCCTTTCCTCATCCCCTTCCTCTCCTCCTCCTCCGGTCCCCGTCCTTGCATTAAAGTCTCCACCTATCAGTGTTTTTACCCCTTCTTCCCTGTTCTCCATCCATTTTCTTAGCTTCTCTATTTTCCTATCTAAATCCTTGTTCACATATACTCCTATTATCCTCCACCACTCTTTTCCTATTTTTACCTTCATGCTCATCATTCCTTCTTCCTCATCCTCCTCTACTTCCCCTTCTATCTCTATTTCCTCCCTTCTTCCCATTACTATCCCTCCTATCGCTCTTCCTTTGTTATTCTTTTTCCCTGCCTCTTGTATCTCCCATCTATATCCTTTTGTTAACCACCTTTTCACCTTCTCCCACCCTTTCTTCTGCACCCATGTCTCACTCATGTAAATTATATCCCATTTTCTTATTCCCTCTCAGAAGTCCTTATCTTTATTCATTAATCCTGCTACGTTCCAGAAGCCTATCTTGTATTCCTCTTTTCTCTTTACTTCTCCTTTCTTTTCCTTTTTTATTCTCCTAACACTTCTCTGTTCCTCTTCTTTTTCTTCCCCTTCTTCTCCCCCCCTCCTGCACCTTTCTAGAAAAACTCTTTCTCCTCTCTTTCTTTTCTAATTCCTATCTCCTGTCCCTTTATCAACTCGTCCTTTTCCTCGTCCCACCTCCATAGTTTCCCCTCTACCCACATTTTCATATTTCCCACCCTTACCCTTTGTCCCTCCCTTCTTTTCCCTTCCGCTTCTCTCCTAATTTTCCACTCCACTCTCCTTTCCTTTTCCGTCAAATCGTCTCTTATCCATTCGTTTCTTTCTTTTAAATTCTTCTTTCATTTCATCACCTCAATTTTCTCTCCTACGCTTGCGAACCTGACCATTACAATTTCTTTACCTTCTTCATTTCTCCTCCCTACTCTCTTTACTTCTTCTATCCTTACTTTCGCCCCTGTTTCCTTCACTATCTCTTCTACCTCCTCCCTTAATCTTTCCCACCCTTCTTTCTTCGCCTTACCCCTTTTATTATAACGTTTCTTTTTCTTTCTTCTCTTTCCTTTTTCTCTCCGTCTATTTCTATCTTCTTCACCCTTTTTCCTATCTCTTCCCATCTCCTATCTTTCTTTTCCCCTCCTACTTCCTCTCTCTTCTCTCCCTTCCCTTTATCCTCCTTTACCTCCTCTTTCTCCTTCTTCCTATATTCTTTTATCTCCTCTTCCATATTCCTAATCCTTTTCTCTAGCTCCTCCTTCTCCTTCTTCCACCCGTTCATCCTTTCCTCCATCCATTTCTTCATCTCTTTTTTCTCCTCATTCCATTTCCTAATCTCTTCTCTTATCTCTTCCCATCCCTCTCTTGCCTCCCCCTCACTCTTATCTCCCTCTATCTCCTTTCTTATTGGCGATCTACCCGTTTTCCTACTCCTTCTAAAAATATTATCCTGCTCCCCTTCCTCCTTCTGTCTGCTTCTTTTTTCCCCCTTTTTTTAAAATAGTTCTAATATCGGAACGCTGTTCGCCCCCTCTCTTTTCAATATTTCCGCATGCGTCGGTCTTCCTACCTTTCCCTTCTCTTTACCCTTCGTTCCCTTCTCTACCTTCCTATCCTCCTCTGTTTTCTTGTCCTCCTCTACCTTTTTATCCTCCTCCGTTTTCTTTCCCTCCTCCACCTTCTTATCCTCCTCCATTTTCACCTCCTCCTTTTCTATAAACCGCTTCCTTCTATCACTTGCCTCTTTTCTTCTTTCCTCTGTATGCTCCCCCTCTATCTATCCTCTATTCTATGCCTGCGGCCCACTCTTCCTGTCTCTACCGCTTCCCTCACTACCACTCTCGCTAGTCTATGCCTGTCGCTGCTCCCTGCCTAACCTATCTCCCGCTACCCTCCCTTCTCACCTCTGTGGCTTTCCTACTCACCCTCGCGCCTCCCCTTCTCTCTCCCGCCTTCTCTTCGATCTCCTTCACGTCCGCCCGTACCTCGCTCCTCCTCCAACGCTCTCTTTCCTACTCTATCTACTTTTCACTCTCTCGCTCACTCTCACACACTGTCACTCGCTCGCTGCCGGAAACGAAAGTCTAATATAATATGCAATATGTCCATATATTTTTAACATTAAAACCCAAAAATAATATTATAAAGTGACTTCGGACTTTACCAGTAATTTTAAAACATATTTGCTGATGTTCATAATTTAAGATTAAGTTGGAATAAATTCCACATAAATTTTAATTAATTGACCTATAAACCGGAACTAATATACCAGAAATATTCTCATCTAGTAATATACAATATAATTAGGAAAAGGAAAAGAGGTATCTAAAATAAACTTTTGTTTATTTATTATAATTTTAAATTTATTTATTGTAATTTTACAAACATGAATACAAACAGTAAGGACAGGATAATGCAATCTGTATAAAATCTCTGTGTGGTTATAACAATCATAATTATTACTTAAATTGAAACATAAAACTTTACTAATAACGCTAAAACTTTTAAATAAATATCACAATAATATCACAATAAGCATGCTGAAAAATTTTTATCATGTGGTTATATTCCAACACAATTTATTTATTGCAAGATAAAATAATATTGTTTAAAATATCCTTAAAATTATATAAAGCTTAATTATTATAATTATATAACTGATATAGCTATGTAGTAACATCAAATTTTTGAAATAAAAAAGTTGCAAGGATACAAAAACATTTCTCAATCTAATTGTAAGAGTTCTATCACAATATAAAAGTGGTAATTATTTAGAGATACGGACCACCCTCCGATGACCTTGCCCTTGACATATGTTGTCAAGGTCATCACCCTGAGTGACTTTCAAAAGGTTTTAGCCGGCGGTCGTTATTCGTTGAAAAGTTATTAACAAAAAAATGCAATGAATAAAATGTAATTTTCTGACACCCTATATAGACTGTATACTTTTATATAGTTTATATGCTTTCATATAGACATGTTTTCATTCTTCGCTAAGCATGAGTTGTCCTTGATTATCTCTCATACTGTTGTTGACATTTCTTGCGAATATGAAACTACTCATCGAAAATTACCCAGTATACGATTTTTCGTACAGCTAACATTCTATTGAACTATCGAAAAATGAAGTTCTATGAATTTCTTGCTTTGACGACAAAATACGACGAATTATTAGACTATCTGTGTACAAAAAGTGTTATTCGCAAAAATATAACATGTCCGCGTTGCGGAAATATAGTGGAACTAAATAGTGGACCATTAATTATTCATTGTACACAGCATTACTACAAACAAATGCAAAAACATAAACGCAAAAGAATAATGTGTAACTTTAAAATAAGTGCTTTAAAAGGAACTTGGTTTTCGCAAGGAGTTATAAATATTGCCGTAGTTTGTCGTTTAATTTGTTATATGATGATGATGAATAGCCCTCGACAATTATTTTTACAAAAGGAACTAAATATCTCATCGCGCACAGCAGTTGATTGGGTCAACTTTTGTCGAGAGGTAATTAATTTATGTAACTTAATGATTTTATTCGTGAAAACTATATGTTATAATATTGAAATTCAATAATTTGGAATTTTAGCTCATGAATCAATGGTTGATGCATAATCAAAAACAAATTGGTGGAAACGGAATTATTATTGAAATTGATGAAGCTAAATTTGGACGTCGTAAATATCATCGTGGACGACTTATCACAGGACAATGGCTTTTCGGTGGTATACAACGTAATACGAAAAAGATATTTGTTGTGCCAGTTGTATCCCGTAAAGCAGAAGTACTACTGCCACTTATTCAAAAGTACATTGCTCCTGGATCAATAATTTATAGCGATTGTTGGAAAGCTTATCAACAAATCGATAAGAACATATACCAACATCATACAGTCAATCATTCTGAAAATTTTATTGATCCACATACGGGTGTTCATACACAAAACATTGAACGAGTATGGAGGGATTCGTGGAGTTATTCCTCAATATGGCCGTAAAGAAAGTCACTTCGAGCATTATTTGGCAGAATTTATATTTAAAAAACATTCGATTTTGACGAGCGATTAAACGCTTTTTTGAAATAATGTCTATTATGTATCCTATAACTGAAAATATCAACGAATAAAAATCTACACTTCTACATTTAGTTCATTATTGACACATAACATAGTTCATTACATCATACCCATGTAGAACTGTGTGGATCTAGTTTCGCCCTGAAAGCAGGGATCGGTGTGGGGTGGTGTCGCTTCGCGTGGAAGTCGGGAACCCATGTAGAACCATTGTACAGTTCCACATGGGTTCCCGACTTCCACGCGAAGCGACACCACTCCACACCGACCACTGCTTTCAGGGCGAAACTAGATCCACGCGTTATACGGCTCTACATTTTTTGTTAATAACTTTTCAACGAATAACGACCGCCGGCTAAAACCTTTTGAAGGTCACTCAGAATGATGACCTTGACAACATATGTCAAGGGCAAGGTCATCGGAGGGTGGTCCGTATCTCTAAATAATTACCCAATTCAAACTAAATTTATGTGTGACATCACAAAAGCAGCTATACAAAGAATGTAAAAACAAAACAACTTAGTGGTGCTGCCTCATAAAAGGGTCAATATACAGAAGATATCAAAATATGTATCTCTAATATAAATACATAAAAAATAAAATATATGTTGACTAGGATACTGCAGTTTCTATAAACACCCTTGTGTGTACATACATCAATCACAAATGTAATTAATTAAATTACATAAAGTTAATGTAATAACACTAAACCTTTTAAATAAAAAAACATCGATAAGCACATGCAGAAAATCATATGGTTATCCTCCAACAAATATTGCAAAATAATATTGCTTGTGTAACCTATAAAATTTTAATTTCAATCAAATATCTCGTTCATAAATTCATGTATTAAATTTTTAGCTTCGTTTATTTGAGCTGCACCTTCAGGCTCTTCTAGTACTTTAAAGTGTGGAAAACAACATCAATAAACACATGCAGAAAATCTTTCGAATTATTTTCCCACATATAACTTATGCTGAACGGAAATTTATTGCTAATAAAATGAAGGAAAGCGTCACTGCAGCATAGTATGTATTCATATAGTGAATACATACTATGATTGTGATTGTTGCTCGCATCATTTCAATGTTCTTGTTCATAAATTCATTGCATACAAGAATACGAACGGTAAGTATAAGTTTAAATACAAAAATAACACTTCTTATTCTAAGACCCCTCTCATAATGTAAAAATACAGGTAATATGAACAGAGAATAACACAAGCAAGAAAGAAAAAGATCTTCTCTTTCTTTCTTGCTTATGTTATTTTCTGTTTATATTATCTGTATTTTTGTATTATAAAGTGAAAGACGCCTTACGTCTGATTACATACTAACATTATTTTGAATAAACTTTTGGCTCGACAAAGTAAGAAACAAAGTATGGCGATGATTGACAAAGAACTGCAAGCTGACAAACTAGAAGAGCCTGCAGGTGCATCTCAAATAAACGAAGCTAAAAATTCAATACATGAATTTATGAACGAGACATTTGATTGAAATTTAAATTTTATATGTTCTCATAAGTTAATAGTTATTACAAGAATCACATTTTGGGCTACTTGCGCTCTACCATTTTAGTCAGCAGTTCAATTAAAGACTTGATTCTGTCTCTCTATTCTTTCTACTCTTCGCTGTTCTTTATCTCGTCTCTCCTTTTGTTTATCTTCTTTTATTTCTGTAATATATGATTCCAAAATTGATTCTACCCGCCTTTTTTTAGAGGGTCTTGACTCATCTGTTGACTGATAACTAAAAAAAGTTAATTAAAAAGTTATTAAATTTTAACTTAATTTTTAAGCTATTAACTTTAAATTAAATTAAAATTAAATTTACCTCATTATCCCGTCTTCTGTGAATTTTTCTGATGAGCCGGACTTCTCTGGTACGGAAGAGCCTGGGGAATATGGACCATCACTGCTCGCAGTTGATACAGGTTCTAACCATGCTTTTTTTCCAAATATAGAGTCCATTGCGGAATAAAAAGCCCAAGAACTAGCAAAATTGCCCGACTTCTTATTGCTATCACTTATGTTTTTGTATGTCCTTTTTAAGCCGGACATTTTATTTTGACACTGTGCAGCAGTGACATTGTAGTTCGCCTCCTTAAGCTCATTAGCAATATCTGCCCATATTTTATTGTGGCGTTTTAAGCCTGAGGCAAACTCAGGTTCTTTATTTCTATAAATATCCAAAAATAAAAGAACGGCCTGATCTGGCCAAATAAAAGAATCTTTTTTAGATTCATTTATTTCAGATGCTACATCCACAGACTTTTCTGGTTTATTAGCTTCTTTGTTGATTAATTCCATATTTCGTTTTTGATTTTCTCGGTCTATTAAATGCTTGAGAACTTCTTCATCTGATAAAATAAAATAACTTTAATTATTCAGAGTATCTCTTACAAAGTGTGAGTGCTATTTCACAAAAACGATACTTTAACGTTTCAATGTTTTAGATATGAAATCTCTCCAATTTAAATAAAAAAAACATAAAGTCTAATTTATGCAGGCTGTCGATAACTTATGCCGAAACCGGTTCAACATTGAGATTTCATGCAATTAATTTCATCATTGTTTTCATCATTTCGTTGCCCAGAAAATCCATTATGTTACTTTACTTACGACATAAATTATTGATTGCAGCCTGCATAAATCAAGCTTTAGAATTATTAGTTTTAATGGAATGAATACACTGCTGTAAGAAGCCTTGAAATTTGAGGTTACAATCAAAACTTTCACGATAATAATACTTACTGCCAGCTGATGCTGCCAAGAATTCAGCTTCTGATACTTCCAATACCCATAATTCGTTGCCTACATAAACATGTAGCTTCTTCATATTTCTTCTATCGCTAAATAATCTTCTATTGCTAAATAATCGTTTTTTCACTCTGCGTTCCGTTTTACGCATGAAACGCATTCTCATGCACGCATGAGCTGCCTCACCTCAAGAGCTGAGGCAGTTCGTGCGTTCTCATGCGTTGCGTGGTGGGGCGCGGTATTATGGTGGGAGAACGTTTTCATGCGCGCATGAACTGCGCATGGAATGAAACGGAACGACCCCGAGCTTTCCATGCGCATCATGCGTGAAACGGAACGCACCCATAGTCGTATCGTCAGTGACACTGCTTGCGCCGCTATCCGACGGTCCCGCTGGAGGTGGTTTAAACCTTTTCAATAACTGTAATAACTCTGCCTTTATGGAGTAGTACCGATCGTCGAACTCGGCATCCTCCACTTCGTCCCTTGAATCGGACTCGTCTTCTAATATAAAAAGTTGCTGCGATATATTTTGAGATTTGGCGTATATCTCCTCTGCTGCCTGAAGTCGCGCCGTGACTTCCTCTGGTGTTGCGTTAGCATCTTTATTGACCTTATTGATAAAGTTCTTGATCTGAGTCAATTTTCCCTTTAGATAAATCCGTTGCCTGCGAAGAGTGTCGATACTCATCTTGCTTCTTAAACCGACCGCCCCGATGATTCCAGCTTACGTCGTCCACGTATCACCGAAAATTCGGAGCGATCGACGGAGACGAACACGACAGACACACGTCGCAATCACGTGAACGGCCAAACGTTGTGATCACGTGAGCAATCGATGATCAGCAGATCGAGCATACTACCGTTAACGCGGTTCGAATGTTCTACTCTCGACACTCTCGAATATTCTCGAAAATAATGATGATATTGTTCAACTCGACCTGAGTTAACTAATTAATTATCATTAAATTGCACTCACTCCTATGCGGTGATCATCCGCTCCGATACGCGCGCTCATCCGGCTTGAAGGACCAATTTGTTCGTTGCTAAACCATGCAAGGCTGGTTTTTTCTAGGTGGATTAAGGAGAGCATTCGATGGAGGGCCGATCACACGTTTTTTCTTATGAGTACAATTTATTATCAGAGGAACTGTCACGACACACTTGTATTTCCAACTCTTCGCCTTCGACTCGACTCTACGACTGTCCGATCGACAGGTCTCGTTCAAGGGATCTCTCCCACCTTACATGCTATTAGCCCGCGATACATGATATTAGCGCGTGATCGCAGCCCGAAACATCCCGAGCGCCTTCGATCTTAGTATGCTCCAACAACCACCTTCAATGATATTTCATTATGTTGAATTAAAAGTAATATTTAGTTGAAAACAAATTTTACTTACTAGATGAAGATGAGCATAAACAATTGAGGTCTGAGTTCCATATAGGCGAAAGTGGAGATTGTTTGCCTAAGGAACAAAGAAAATGCAGAGGAGAATTTAGCAGATGTGCAGATAATATAGCCGATATTTTACCATAAACAACCTGAAAAGAAGGGATTATTGCCCACCTTGAACAGCAGGTGACTGAGATCGAACGGCTGAAGACTTGGGTTGAGCAGCCGACCGGTGAAAATTTGAAGTTGTTCTGTGAAAAGTCATATCACTCTTTAACTTCTGATTAGGTTCAGTTAACATGAATGATACGTACTGTCGGGCTATAATATTGTAACGAAGCTTACTCTTTCCGGTTTCCGGACAGGACTCCGGCAGGTATTCTTAATTCAGGATATTAAGAATGGTAATTAATAAGACGCGCGGTTCTGATTACGGTTGAAAGAGTTCGCGTCTCGGTTTCGGTGTTGACGTGCTGTGTGTCGGCAAAATAAATTCTCCGTTCCTCTTATTTGCCGAATATGCTCAGCTCCAGGGCCGTCGAGAGGAAAGGAGGAAAAGATCTTAATTACTAGTGAGGTGAATCGCTTGGAAGGATCGGAAATAAATCATACATGTGTTTTTATAGTTAAAAACAATAGGAATAAGTTTTATTCAAGGAATTGATACAAGGGATCGAGGTATTTACAATGGGTACGCCCTGTGATTAAATACAAAGGAAAAGAAAAGGATTAGTCGGGTTTACAAAGGGTACGCCCTGTGATTTAAAATACAAAGGAAAAAGGAATATGATTATTCGGATTAATGATTGTACAGAAGTACGCGGCCGGATCGGAATATGGGATACAAAAACTACAGGATTATGATACTTAGGCGGATTTACAGAAAATACATCGCTGGCTTACGGTACAGGAAACGAAAGGATTTGATATCTGATTCGCGTTATTATTAAATCGGACACGGTGTTCAAAGTAATTTACGAGATAAGTGAGATGAATAATATAATCACAAGTATCGTGGTATTGCTAAATAATTATACGGAACGGAATAAGAATGCTATAATTCGAGTACAGAAATACGGATGGAATTATTTACAGGAGTATTTCATATTAGCGCCGCTATATCGACAAAAGTTCTGGAGACGCACTGGAATTTATCGGAGAGGATGTCTAAACGGGATCCTCAGGTCTGTAAAGGGAGAACAGTGACGGGATTAATTCTACGGAAGCCTACTCGCGAATTAGACTTAATTCCCACCCGAATATTCCCCCCTGGCCTTTAACTCCGGTCAGGAACAGGAAACGGATCAGGGTCAGGACAGGAACACGCCCGAGCAGCGCCTCGTTATGCGTGAGATTTCAGTAACATTTGTACACCGGGAAGCACCCCGTTGAGTGTACGTTACTGCGGAGATACTCCGTTCCCCCGAAACACGGACGCGCCCGCTGTTACGGAGGAGTCAGGAACGGATACGGGAGACCGGTACGGGAAAATGTAACATGTGTACACCGAGGAGCACCCCGTTAAGTGTACGTTACTGCGGGCCGGGGTGCATGACGGAGTAGCGCTTCCGCTGACATGTACCCCGGTGTGGTCTACAGCCGATTGATAGGAGCACCCGTGTACTCGGCGCAGACCGCAGTGGATGTGGGAGGCATCCACCGCCGGGTGTCTTCGCTCGGAGCACCGAGGCAAGACTGACTTGACTCGCCAGCTCCGGAGGGGCTTTTATACCCCCCAGAGTATAGGCGCGCGGGGTAGAGACGGCAGGGGCAGGCGCGGCGTTGCCGGCTAAAGTTGATGCGGTAACCGCGCCGCTATTGCTCTCTTGCTTGCGCTCGCGCGTCGTCGTGCGGTCTCTTTCTACCGTCCGCACCTCCCCTGTCGCCTCCGTCACAATATGATCCATAAGGAATAGAAGGTCATTATAAAAGATCCAAGATGGCTCATAGATAGGCGTGCCAGAACCTGCTCCTGATCTTGGCAATGACATTTTTTCTTTCCTTTCCAAACTTTTCACGGAGACGATGGAAAAGCTTTTCTGCTTCCAAACCTGAAAACAGAATGAATATAATTAAAATTAAAAATTTCTTATTAGCAACAATTTCTTAACCCTATACACATGCCACAAATTTACTTACTAGTGAGTGCTGGGATCATCGCTGCCCCTATGGATGCCCAAGTGAGGGATTTATCTTGGCACTTGCTGTAGCCCTTGTATTTTTTTATGTACAGTTGTGTATTGGGGCGCACAAAGTGAATGAACGTACGGATATATATTGCACGTTTTTCTGAAACGTTATTCCCTATTGCATTCCCTTCGTCCCCATTATAATTATTATAATCTTCTTCATCCATGTCGTTCAAAACTTAACCTTGAAAATCTTCTTCTTGTTTTTATTACTGGCGCCCAGCTCACAACGACCTGAGCCGACACGGCCACGACGAACCAATAGTCCTCCGAAATGATGCACACACCACAAATGGTATTGCTTGGTATGTAGTTAATTGAACAATGCAATGACCCGGTAATCTGGCCACGCGCGAGATGATGCAATCAATGGGTCTGTTCTTTATTGCTGCACTCCTGAACTAGTGCACACTGGTGCAATGAGTTGGAATGAGAGGTAATCTATTTGTTTCATTTTAATTTATTGCATTAGTTCAGTAGTGCAGTAATAAAGAACAGGCCTACTGTTGCCTCTTTGGACAGTTTGGACACAGTATAACCAGTATGGGCACTCTCTGTCGGCACCTTTGATCTGGGCGTTCTCAATTTTCCGCCATGTTTTTATTCGTACCAACAGTGTATCAACGGCTAAAAGTGCCTGGGCCCTTTTCAGGATCGTATCCAGAAAAGGCGCATACGAACTGGCGTACATTATTTATTGTAAATGAAAATGGCCTATAAAAAAAGTTCTAATAAAAGTAATTAATGTAATTACTTGCTCCAACGTATAAAAGTACGCGTTATTCGTCAACACTACGAATTTTTCAATGTCACACCGACTTTGCACTAACACACGTACAAAAATCCTGTGATTGGTCAGAATAAAAACATGTCGGATGCGCAGTACGGATCGGCGCGAACATGAAACAAAAGAGCGAGTGCCACTACTGGTTATACTGTGGTTATACGCTGTATCTACGAGATCAAGATCGGTAAACTCATGGGCGAATTCTTAATCACGTAAGGCGACGCCAGCGCTACAAGTGGCAAAATTTTGATTCACTGGATGGCAAAAATCTCGGCCCACGTTCGGTGACGTGATCCAGACCTAGTTCGGTCTCCTTATACATTCTCCATGGTCCGCGCTCTTCTCCGCATCCGACGTAAGCCGAGCGCTGAGAGGCTACCCCCACTCTACTCCCTCCACGCGCTCGACTGCCATGCAGAGAAGCAAAGTCGGCAACACTGGACTCGACTAGGGATGCGCGATTTTGATTCGATTAATCGTTTAATCGATTTAACATCCTATAATCGATAGCCTTCCCCCCAATACTTTCGTTGACGCTTAATCGAAACAATCGATTATTTTACTGCGATTGTTCGACCTTCACGCAAGCAAGGTCCACGCTACTTACCGGCGGGGTGGGTGCGGGGAGGGGGGCCGAAGGCCCCCTCGGCCCCCCCCCCCCGCTATGTGTGTGTGTGTGTGTGTGTGCGTGTGCACGTGCGTGCTTGCGTGCGCGCGTGCGTGCGTGCGTGCATGCAAGGCAAAGATTTACTAGATGCTATAGTTGCCACTGTCAACAATAGTCGCTTTCTATTTACATGAAATCTCAGATAATTTTCACTTTTGTCTTTCTTTAACATGAATGTTGAAGGAAGACAGAAGTGAGAATTATCTGAGATTTCATGTAAATGGAAAGCGACTAATGTCTATTTTACTTATTTCATTTTAGCTCATGTTGTGTACACACACACACACACACACACACACACACACACACACACACACACACACACACACATAGATGCTGTAGTAAATCTTTGCCTTGTACGCGCCACACACACACACACAGCGAGGGGGGGTGCGAGGGGGGCTGTCGGACCCCTCCCCTAGAGTCCCTGTAGTAAGAGTCTGGCAAGGGTTAACGCAAAATGGCGTCTGGTCTGTTCGTTATCGCTGCATTACTGCACTAGTGCAGTAATGCAGCGATAACGAACAGACCAAAGGTAACCAAATAATAATAATAATAATAATCCCGCGTTCAGAGTACAGATTCGAGACACCTTATTGGTTCCGCCATTTTGCGTCAAACCAATCAAACGGAGAATATTTCTTGCCAGACT